CTTCCTTATATCCAATCTAAACTTCCCCTGTTTAAGTTTTAACCCATTACCCCTTGTCCTGTCACTACAGTCCCTAATGAAGAGTCCATCCGCAGCATCCCTATAGGCCCCCTTCAGACACTGGAAGGCTGCTATGGGTTCTCCACGCAGCCTTCTCTTCTCCAGGCTGAACAGTCCCAATTTTCTCAGCCTATCTTCATATGGGAAATGCTCCAGTTCCCTGATCATCCTCATGGCCCTTCTCTGGACTTGTTCCAACAGTTCCATGTCCTTTTTATGTTGAGGATACCAGAACTGCACACAATACTCCAAGTGAGGTTATATGATGAAAAAGAACATGTTTACAACATGTACCAAAATACGGGTTCTTATATAAGGAAATAAACCTTTCTTTCCAGTAGCAAGGATTTTCATTATTGCTTATTGAGTTATAGAGCAAAGATTAACCAAACTATTCACTCTTTTCAACATAGAGGGCTTCCATAACTGAAAATTCCAGTTTCCATTTACTGAACACTTTTGAACAAAAGCAGTAGATGAAGAAATTAAATGTAGTTGTTCGTTACTGTTGGTGTGTTGAAACAGGATGGGACTGCATGCATCAAATTAAAAAAAAAAAAAAAAAGAAAAAAGTAAATCCTGATTACTTTAGTCTTGTGAGGAAGAGAACACAATGAAAACTTGTGACAAGTTTCTCAGTAAACCAGAGATTAAAGAAACAACTTGTTTAAATCATTTTTATACTTCGTTTTAGACTTCTTTTTTAACTCTGGATAAAAATCCAGTTACACAAGAAATTTTGGACTTTATTTTGTAAATTTGGTGAATGACTCATAAGCTTGCAGTAGTGCTGTTATGCAAGCTATACTAATAAAATATGTATGCTTGGCAAAAATTTCATCTGATCCTGCCAGAATTTAGAGCACCTTTTTATTCAGAGGCATTTGACGTCAACTGGTGCCCTTTGGAGAGAGAACTATGGTGGGGAAAAATGAGTCTTCTATTCTAGATTCCAATTTTAGACTCCAAATAGCTTCAATTACATGTAAACATGGCCATTAACCATAACTCGAAATGACTATTAAAAGCCTACAAAATATTTTTAAATACGTGTTTGTATTACACATTATCACAGTAAAGAACCAATGTGGCCACCTGCTGTTGCTCAAACCAATATGCATTGAACAGGCCTAAGTCTGGAGTATTCATCCTCTCCTGCATCTGGTCAACCCTCTGCAGAACACGCCTACCAATGCCATGTCAAATCTCTGCAAGCTTTAGCAGGTTTGTTTGGCAACAGATGATCTGAAATAGTTAAGCAGAAAACAGAATGTGTCTTTGAAATTATACACCTGTATGCTACTGAAAGCTGCAAGAAAAACTTGATTTTCCTAATTAAAGATAAGAAGAGTCAGACTGATTGGGATAATTACTAGCAACTCTTCCAAGCAAATACAAAAATCTTTACCCAACTGAGCAAACTGCTGGGGTGGTGTTTAGGCCTGCAGTAGTTGAAGACCTGACTCAGGCACCTGTCAGTTGAGATCACTTTTGTTAAGAGGAATGAGTAGCTGCTTTTCCATTCCCTGGTAAACGTGTGCTGTCCACCTCCATTACATATAAAAGTTATCTAAACTAGTTAAGAATAAATGTATGCAGAAATTGCCAATAAACAATGGTTTCTTAAAGCAGTGGCAAGCTACATGAGCCTTCTAATAGAAACAACAGTGCCAAAGCCCTTCACCCAGAGCCAGATTTCCTTGCAACGCTGGAGCCCAGCCATTTTCCAAATTGCTGCAGACGCACACAGTTGCTGCAGAACTGGAGGCGATGTCCGGGCAGCTCTCCTCCTTCATGCAGCTACCAAGTGCTCAAATCTTATCAATACTCATCTAATTCATCATCTAACTTCCTACTAGGAGAGCTTAGAATTGACAATGTGCATCTGGATCAGCAGAACCCTCAACATTGGCCAAGCATGATACAGACTGACATCACCAAGGATTTCATGTACTACTGCCTCATTACTGTGAACTCCAGTTTCAGCTACTGTCAGCTCCAGTTGCTGGTCATCAGGCACGTAGTAATGAGCACAGTAAAGCTTGCTGGAGGCTTCCTGCAGCACTGTCTTAGCAGGGCGGGCCTGCTGCCTGCAGCTGAGGAATGCAGTAAAATCTGTTAGACCTGTCAGAGTGACTGCAGATAAAAAAGCACACAAGAGCCCTGCGTGAAAGCTGTGCATTAAATACGGCCCTTGCCTTGGTCTCTTCCAGAGCAACTTGCCTAGATGCACATCCTTGTAAGATGGTCACATGTAACTGCTTTACACTTCCACAGACGGACACAATGCAGAGCTCAGGGAAAGGCTGAGTACTGAAAGTTTTAGGCAGGTGACCCATCAAGTGGAATGAAAACCCTAGCCACGTCACAGGCTGGAATACTTCAGAGACTAGCTGCAAATCTGCACGTAGCTAATCACAAGGAAAGGCAGCGACTGCTTTAGGCATATGACACATCTGAAGCATCCTTCATCTCTGGAGATTAAAGCCAATCCCCAAGGCCTCAATGGGTCCACTTGCCTTCTTTCTGTCTGACAGGAGAATGCACAAGCACTGATTGGCTTTACAGACTTTCCACTAAGTGGCTTGCCCTCTTGCCTCTTCCCCACAGGAAGCAGGGAGTAGCTGCTTAGGTGGTGAGCACTCGCTGAAGGCTCAGACACTTCTGCTTCCTTCTGCTGATAGCCTCCTCACCCAAGCTCGTGTGCAGGATGCACTGCTGCTGTTACCTCTTCAGAGTAATACAGCTCATCCAACTGCTTTTCCACCCAACCAACCTAAACTTGGGATTCCCTAGCACAGAACAACCAAAACATCTTTTTATTTTACTTAAACTGAGCATTTATTTTACTTAAACTGAGCATAAACAAGACCTGGGCAGGACAAAACTGATGAACTGTGCCAATTCCTGCATGCGACCTGTGTTTAAGTACCTACAGGCAGCAAGTCATCTATTGCATTTTGAACCTCTTTCACTGGAGGTTGACTTACAATTCATCATTCTTGCCATAATGCTTCAAGAATATTTGCCATGCCACCTCAGTCACATTTCGTTTCTTTAAGCAACGAACTTTTCATTCCAGCTACATATCTGCATGAACAGGAGGCTTGGCCAAACCAGGCTCAGAACTGCACCATTCCTGCTCAGAGAGCATTTTCCAGGTTTTGGTCATGGTGGCTTGGATGTGCTTCACCTTCCTTCCTGAGAAGGACTTGGGGGTGTTGGTTGATGAGGAGCTTCCTATGACCCAGCTTCAGTGCACGCTTAAGCCCAGATCTCCTGTGTGCTGGGCTGCATCCCCAGAGCCTGAGAAGCAGATCAGGGAGGGGATTCTGTCCCTCTGCTATGCCCTGGGGAGACCCTCCCCGCAGTCCTGTGTCCAGCTCTGGGGCAACAACACAAGAGGGATGTGGAGCTGTTGGATGAGTCCAGAGGAGGCCACAGACATACTGTGAGGGCTGGAGCAGCTCTGCTCTGGAGACAGGCTGAGAGAGCTGGGCTGGTTCAGCCTGGAGAAAATACAGATCCTTAAGGGGAGACCTTAGAGCAGCTCCAGTGCCTAAAGGGGCTGCAGGAAACCTGGAGAGGGGCTTTGGACAAGGGCCTGTAGGGACAGGACAAAGGGGGAATGGCTTTAACCTGCCAGAGGGAAGACTCAGATGAGCTCTTAGGCAGAAGTTCTTCCCTGTGAGGGTGCTCAGAGAAGCTGTGGCTGTCCCATGCCTGGCAGTGTTCAAGGCCAGGTTGGACAAGGCTTGGAGCAACCTACTCTAGTGGGAAGTGCCCCTGTCCATGGCAGGGTGTTGAATTGGATGGGCTTTAAGGTCCCTTCTAACACAAACCATTCTATGATACTATGATTCTTTCAGCTCTGACTATGCAGTAGTTTGGAAGTAGTTTGGAAGAGCTGTCACTACACCCCACACAGCTCATTTGTGTACACTTACATGGACAGAGACATCTGCGTCTCTCTCAGATAAACATCAGACCTGGAAAGCCTTTACGTTTAGCAACCCTGGCTATGCTAAATCCCCTAAACATGAACATTACCACCACAGCAACCCACAGGATGTTCAAAACCAAGGGCATGGTTTTGCAGGAAGGTGTGAAGATATTCCCTTCCTTTAGCGTGGGTTCAGGCCGGGGCTCTGGCAGAGGAGCCGGGATGACAGAGCACGCACACACACCCACCGCCCGGCTCCACTTAGGGAGAAGCCGTGGAGGCAGGATCTCTGCCACGAGCTGACTCAGCTCCAGCTGAGGGTCGGGTGTCCATACCCAACGCTCTTCCAATGGTAAAGTCTTTCGCAGCTAAAGAAAAGAATGCCCCTTTCCCCCCTCGCCCACAGACCTCCTCTGCTCAAGAAAAGCCACTTCAGGTTCGGGTTAGCGTTGCCCTGCCCCGGCCCTTCGGAGTCAGGGGCACGCCCGCTGCTTTCTCCCCACCCAAGCCACCGCCGCGAACCTCAGCCCTCTTCCTCCCGCGCCCCCTCCGGTCCCGGCAGGAAGGGGAGGATCCGCCACCGCCCCAGAAAGCTGTGGGACTGGAACCGCCGAGGGCCTAGATCGGTCGCTCCCCTTTGATTCGCCGGCGGACCCTCGCTTCTCTGGGGCTCGGAGCCGCACCGGGGCAGGCGGCAGGGCGTCCCGCCGCTATGTCTCAGCCCGGGACGGGGAGGCAGCCGCCCCCCGCCGCGGTAAGGTGGGGCTCATCCGGCGGGGCGGGTTGCTGTAGCCCCCGGGGCGCTGTGGGGATGGCAGTGGCGAACCCCGCGGGCGCTGCCCGAGCTGCCCCACTGGCTCGGCGTGGCCGCGGGCGCCGCCCTGGTGCCGTGGGGCTCGGCAGTGGGAGGCTGCAGCCGCGGCGGTGCCGCCCTGGGGTGGAGGCGGCTGGTGGGGCGGGGTGCGGCCCACGCCTTGATGAGCCGAGCCGAGCCAAGCCGAGCTGAGCTGGGCCGGGCCGGGCGGCAGGGAGCAGCGAGCAGAGGGCAGCGTCATGGCTTTCGCGCGGTGGTGGTACGCCACGGTAAATGCAGGGGTGCGGTGGGACGGCCGGGGAGCCTGGGCCACCCCCGGGGAAAGAAGGGGGCGGCGGCCCCTGTCTGTCTTTAAGGCTTAGGAAAGGATTTTACGGTAACAGGAGGTACATCAGCGCTGCTTTTCTTTTTTTTTTTTTTTTTTTTTTTTTTTTTCCCCGAAAGCGTTCGTACGGTAGAATTTCAGGTCAGATGAGAACGTGGTGTACTCTGAATGTATTTCCGTCATCCCGCCGCGGATAACTGACACTGAAAAATCAGGGATTTGGCAGTTTCTGACATCTTATGAAGTAAGGCAGAGCTTCCTAGCTGACGAAAACTGCACCCCTCGGTCAAAACTTAGCGATGTGTGGCATAAGGCAGAATTTTTATGGGATTGTTTCTGCTTTGGAAAAACCCCCATAGTGTGTTCTCAGGAGCATATTCTTAACTGCAGGTAGGTAGTGGAGTTGCCAGGAATTGTCGCTTGCTAGATTCTCCCTGAGTGAACCACAGCTGTCTGATAGCTCCACGTGGTTTGGCTGGATTTAGGTCGTTAGTTATTATAAACCTGCAATTACTCTTGAAAGTCTTCTTTATAGTTTATTAGTCATATGTGGAAAGAGTTGGTCTCTCTACAGAGTAGTGAAAGAAAAGTTTGTGTTCTGTTAAAGTTTCATGGAAAGTATGCACTGTGTAAGGTGGGTTTCAGAAAAAACCCATTATGTAAATCCTGAATATATAATCAGGTAAATGGTATCTGTTAGATTTATAACTGTACTTTTAAATTGCTGTAAGTAGCTTGGATAGGTGTTCTGAAATGTTTTTGAGTATCGTGTGTTGTGTCAAGTCAAATCAGTGATAGTGTGGGGGAGGACACCAAGTTACAAGGAGGAATGTTTGGGAATTGCTGCGTTAAGTGATGACATGAATGTTAAAGGCCTCAGTTGTCCTGGGTCACTGAATCCAATGTACAAAAAGATGCTGAGACAGTGTGCTACTATCTGTGATCAGGTAAGGAAACCACTGACCCACATGCTCTGTTGTAAACCCATGGTCACAGTTTTGGCACCAGAATAGCACCTGCAGGCCTTCGTGTGGGACTGCAGCCTGCTCTGGCCCAGTGCACAGGACAGTTTCTGCCTGGGAGACCTTCCTAAAGGATGAGTAAGAAAAGCAGAAAAGGTGAGAGAGAGGAACAGGCACAAAAAAAGATTCACTGGTCTCTCTACCAAGGTTTTTACTGGCTTATGTATTTAAAACAGAACAGGATGGCTGTAATAAGAATCTAGGTTTCACCTTTCCATTCTTTACATTGCTTGATTGTAATTCCCCTGGCACCTCTTCCCATTTGGCAGTCTCCTGAGCAGCATCAACGATCTCTGCTGCATTCTCAGTTTCAACTGAAAACAATAGGTTAGATTCCTCTCTGCATGAAATGATACATTTCCTTTAATATCTGCAGTGCAAAGTTGGTTGACTTAATTTGAGAGACTTGCAAGGCGGCTTCCCTTCTCACCCAGTGACTGAGCATGTTGTCACTGCAGTCCTCTGAGATGCTGCTCAATGGCTTTGAACCAAAAGTTCACTTATGCTTATGGGGCTCCTGGGGCTTAGTAGGAATTTCTTGATGCAAGACCTTTAGTTGAGGTCTGATTTGTGTACGCTTGGGCTGAGAATGTAGTCATGTGTTCAGTTTTTTAGAATTTTGCCCTGTGCTTTTCACCGCAGCCAGTTTCTTTTTAGTTTATGAATGCTCTTTGAATAAGAAGTTAAAGTTGTGTCTATAAAACAATAGTGTCATGACATTTTTGTGCACTGTTGAATAGGATGAATTACTTAGGATAAATGTTCTGGTTCATATACTTCTTTGTATTTTCTGAACATGTGATTATGAGTGGGTTTACGTGTTTCAGTTTTAGTTAGTAAAGGTGGAAAGTATTTTGGGCCAACTTAGCAACTGTAAGGAATTGTTGTTAACTCCTTAGTTGAACTAGAAATGTACCTTCAACTGTATGCCCACTGTCTGTGTGACAGACCTTGAGCTTCTCCTGTCCTCTGCCTTGTTACGGATATATTTCTTTGGCAATGTAAGGAAAGATGAGTGGAAAAAAGAGTGCCCAAAGGAAAAATCAACTCTGTCATCTACTTGAGAATGTAAAAGAGTGATGGGTGCATACTGTCCTGGAAAACCTGAGCTTGCCTAGTCTCTTGCTAAGCAGATTGATTGATTTGCTTTTATTACTATTTTTTTTTTTTCAGTCGAAGGTTCAAAGCTTGGAAATACAGAGCAGAAAAGAGCTGCTGAGAGGCATTTTTGAAACAGGGTCTCTTTTTGTCAGCATCAGCTGTTCAGGGAACCAGCGTGGTCTTCTCAGAAGGTGTATTAGGAAATTGCATTCCCAGGTTACCTCCTCAGGATGGCAGACTTTAAAGTGAGGTAATATTTTCATAGGCTGTTTTATTATCCAAATTCAGAGAGTATCAGTGCTGAATGTACACACAGTGCGTGACTCCAACTTATTAGATAGTTGGTCGGGCCATATGTGATGAACAGTATTTGGCCTTTAAGTCACAGCCGCATTGTTGTAGGCATTACTTGGCACAGCCTTCTACAGGGAAGACAGCATGCATTTAATCTCTCTCTCACTTGAATTTAGGGGTAGTAAAGTTGTGGCCATTGTCCTGGTCCATCCCTTTTCCTCTCTGGCCAGTGAAGCTGCGCTGGGGTCCTGGGACATGGCTTTGATACCCTGGTTGAGGGAATGCTGCTAGCCCCCTTGTACTGCCCTCTGCAGGCAGCATGGACGGCTGTGCCTAGCTGTCAAGTTGACGATGGGAAAGTGGACGCTGAGGCAGGCAAACACAGAAGTCTTGGCGCCTAAGAGGGCACACTCCGAGCTCTGTCTGTGACTCGCTGGGACACAGTGTTATCTTCCTCTTTGTAGTCTTGAGACTGGAGGCCCTGTTGATGCTGTGGTCCTGTCTGGTATGGGTTTTCTTGGTGTGCAGACAAGGAGATGGATTAGGGAGAAAGAATAACACCAGATTTGGCCCTGGTAAAAGCCTCTGTAGGCACACTCTGTAGGAGGTAAGCAAGACTCCTGCATTCTATGAGTTGTTTTAGCAAAAGAAAAAAAAAATCTAAGCTTTAAATGGTGTTGCTGCTTTTAAAGCTATGCCCAAAGTTGAAGAAGCAAATTAATAAAAGCAATAAGATATGTGCAGAAAGGCATGCTTGTTTTAGTAGCTGAATCTAGGTAGCACTTTGTGGCAAGGGTATCTGTTTAGGAAGAGAGCTGGTCCACACAACAAAGTTTTGCTGGGCAGGAGCTGTGGCTCCTGAGTGTGTAGCAGTGATGGCTCTGGACTTACCACTTTGTAAGCGAGAACACACTTATTGTCTTTGCTTTCAGAGGTATGTATGTGGTGTGTGCTTTTATTGTATCAGTAAAAAGTGCAGATAATGGGGCTAATTGTGTCTATACTGAAAGTGCTATTACAGGACACTGAGTCACTTCATCTCTTATATTAAACAACAACCTACAAGGATTGTTCTTCCTCTGAAGAGGCACAATTGGAATATGAGAATAGTATTTTCAGTTTTTAAACTTGTCAAGCATCTTACTCATGCCCAAACTAATTTTAAAAACTTGAATTTTTAGAGGTTGTCTAAAACAATTTTTGAAAATGTTGTCGTAGACCAAAATAGTGGAAACAGATTAGACACATGCTAGTTTTTTTTTTAGCCTGTCTTGTTTGTTCAGCTATAGTATTTTCCTAGCGTGTCTGCTGATGTGCTTGAACATGTTCCTGTTGAAGATAGTGCAGTCATACATGGATCATTACTTTCTACCTGTAGCCATGTAAAGAAAAATCTGTACAAACTCATTACATTAGTGGGTTAGCAGACTTTACCTCCTGCTGCTCAGTTGTTGAAACGGAAGGGAATAAATGAGTCTCAAATAATGTCCTCTGTTTACTTAACAAAACAAACTGGACATGAATCCTCATTCCCAGATGTCTCAGTTGCTTTTGAAAGTTAACACTAGCTATTAGATAACAGCGACTTTTGTATTCATGGTAAAATGTTTTGGTTTTTACTATTCTAAAGATTAAACAATTTGCATTTGAAAAAGGTTTTCTGAGGGGCCATATTCACCACTCACCAGAGATGCAGAGAGTAAAACATGTGCTGGATGCCAGTGTGCATGCTGAACAAACTCTGTCCTTCTGTACACTGCTGCACTTGGGCAGCAGATGGGATTGCACATAAGGTTGGATGAAAGCAGAGGTTTAAAGTCCTGGAGGGGATGCAAGATGAAGGAGGTTTGGGAGATATAGAAGAACTGTATTTCCTAATGTGTACCTGTGCCTACACTGCTACAGCATGTAGTTCTTGCATATCAGCAGCAAAATTCTGGAGCTAATAGTAACAGCTTTCTTCCAGCTAAAGAAGACCGGGCATAATGAGCATCCTAATATGTCCAAGCAGGTGTTGGAGTGCTCATGATAGCGTATATCATGTTGGTCTCTCTCAAAGATGTTCAGTTTCTGCTGAGGCTGGTGGGACTGACAGTGTTTCTAAATCCAGTATTGAAGAGTGCTGTGCTGGTGAGGAATGAGTGATACGCTTAATATCTTCCAGAACTTGTCACAGGAGCAGTCATGTTACATTTACTGCCCTGGCATGACTTTATGACTGTAATTTTGCTTGAAGATATCCAGCAGGTCATTTAGAAACCCTGTCCATTAGTGAGAAGGAAAACTTACGGTGTTCTCTTCTGTCGTATTGTGGTAGGTGAAAGGCATCATACATGCACTAAGATGTTTGGGGATTTCTCTACATAGAAGGTATACTGTAAGATCTTAATAACTATGCATTTATTTTCTCTGTTTAACAGCATGGTGACAACAAGGCAAGTGGAGCTTCTTCCAAATCAGGAGAGAAAGAAGCAGGTGTAGCAGAGGTAAATTCAAGTATTTGAACATGCTAAGAATCATTGGTAGTGAATTTCCCCTCATACAGGTTTTTGTGTTTTGACAGCAAAGTGGTAGTTTTCAGGTAATTAACTGGTGACTGTAGTCACTCATTCCTTCCAGGAATGTATAGTTCTGTCTTGTGCTGCTGAGCAGCCTGCTGAAAATATTTTTTTGTTCTGTTGATCCTTTCACAAATACTTCACATTTGTATTGATGGGAATGATCTTGGTAGGTATGTCTGTTCTGCAGTGCAGGTACACTGTGGGATGCATCTCATGATCCCAGTTTTTCAGTTGTCCAGAAGTAGGGATGAAGCAAGTGCACTGTGACGCTTTCCACCTTATCTGTGTCCTGGCTTTTCTTCCAAAGATACAAATCCAAATTCATATGTAGATGTTGCACAGATGTCTGTGCCATTTCCTGACATGCTTGTAAATATGTAGGCCATGTTGTATTTTAGAAAATATATTTATTTGTCCTGCCTCCTCAGGAACTGGTTCAAGAGTCCCTGCTGGGTTATAACACTGGGTTTATAGAAGCAATTTTACAGTCAGAAGCAATATGGGTTGCAGGCAGTGTTAGGAACAGTACTTGGAAAGGTCAGCTGTCTCCCTCTTAGCCACTGGGAGGTAGGTCCTTGTGTGCTAGTGAGTCAGGCTGGTATTACAAAGAGGAGGTGTCCAAATCAAATGTGAATCCTGGTACTGATAATTAGTTCCCCAAGGATCTCTTCTGTTGCAAGCAGGAGCAGACCTTCCCTGAGGAAGGCTAACATTAGATACGGAAAGGGAAGAATTTGTACCTATGCCTGTTACTAATTGTCTACATGTTGGCTTCAAATGTCAGTCACTGACACAGTGAAGCTAGAAACAGGCGTGCCTGGTACTGTATGCACAGCAGAAGCTGTGTGGAAAAGTAACTTTGTTTAAGCTGTGGTGCCTTTAACTGCAGTGGAAATCAAGGCCAGTGAATGCTTTTACTGCCATCCTCTGAAGTGGATGATTAAAGCAATTACCTTTCTTTCCTGTCCAAATACCAAGGAAGGCTTGTCCAGCCTGGGAACATGTTCCTCCGTTCCTCTCTGGACAGTTTTAATTACTGCTTAAATAGCATTGTTCTTTTATGCGTGCTAAGTTTAATGCCAAATTCTTGGAAGGCTGGGAGTTGAAGCCCATAGTTTGGGTTGTGTAGTTACTGCTTCTGACCTTTCACTGGGAACACTATTTCTACCTAGAAAAAGAAGGCTTTGCTTTTTGAGTCCTTGGAATCCTGTATTTGTGCTTCCTCTTGTGAATTTATTTTTGTATTTGACTTGTTCCTCATTCACTTTACAATGCTTAAAAGGGAAAGTAGATCAAATCGCTTTTCCTTAGGCCCACAGAACAGCTTCAGGTCCATCTGGGTTCACATCCACCTCCAAAGGACTCTGATTTTTTTTTTTTAAGCAGTTGAGATAGCAATTAAAATCTTTGTACAGCTTTCCTAAGAGTCTTCAATGTCATATCTGTCTAAAAGTCAGAAGTTACACCTGCTTTTTGAAGCAGAAATTTATGATATATCTGTAGATACCTGTACACAACCCTGTCTAGCATATTGAGTTTGTTCACCTCCCTACAAGAAAAGGTTTGGTAATGCATTATAAAAATGACAAAGAAACGTGAAGGTCTTTGAAGAATTCATATTCATATTGAAGGGAAAACTGTGAAAGCCTGTATACTCATTGTGTAGCTAAAAATAACAATAAATGACTTTGTTCCTCTGATTCTTTGGGTATATACTGAGTGGGAGATGCTAATTAGCTGCATCATCAAGGAGAGCTCAAAATGAGTAAGGCGTAGAATGGACTTCTAAAGCCTTTAATTCTTTGAGACTTAAAAGTAGATTGAAAAAACCCAGCAGGCTTACCATAAATGAAAACCTGCTTGGTAAGACATGTACTTGGACAGAGGTGTGGAGGAGATTTAATGGTTCCATTACATTTTTCCATTTCTAGCATCATAATATGATAAAATAAAATAATGCTTTAAAAGAGTTAGGAGTTACCAGTGTGAAGGTAATCTGTTTAATAACACCATAATTTTGGAATTACATAAAATCATAGTGGGGATTTACTTTTTGTTTCCAGTAGCTTATTGCTTGACTATCACACAGTCCTTTCATCCTTAGATCTTCCAGTGTTGTACAAAGGAGACTGGACATATTACCTGAATGAGTCAGATAAAATGTGAGGAATGGGAGGTGCTGAAGCATAGAGCTGGATTTGACTCATTTAAGGTCATCCAACTGCTCAGTAGGACAGAAAAGAAATCAGGTCACCAAGTACCAGGCTGGTCCACCCAGTGTGTAATAAACGGCATCCTCTAAGCTCAGAGGCAGTGAGCCTTTCCATCCAAATCATGGAACAGGCCTCCCTTTCTGCATGGTACTGGTAACACGGCTGGCAGCTGCAGTTTGTGTTTACTCCTCACTTGAAAATGCAGCTTCTAAAATCCACTCTGTTCTACTACACTGGAGGGTGTTGCACAGCTAGAGCGTACTGACTGGCTGGAAGAGACAGGCAGCAGGTGAGTTCAGTAGCAGTTTCCAGCAACCTCTGTTCTGCTGAATGGCTGCACAGCCTGGAAAGTAAAGGATGCACACAGTCCTTAACTGCCGCTCTTCCCAAGGGTCCAGCTCTCACCTCTTCTGCTCAATGGCTGGAAACGTGAAGTTTAATGTAGTATTAGGGTTCCAACTCTTCCTTCTAGAATACTAAATTTAGTCTGTTTAATTTCTGATAACAAAATTAAGATGTGGCCTTAAGTTTAATATACTCTTTTTACTTTAACCCTGATCCTTCAGAGTAGCCTGTGGCAGTTACCTGGAAGCCCTTTGGTTGCATTAATACTCAGTGCATTGCATCTAGAACAAGAGAGAAGGGTTTCAGAAGGGCTAGGACTGTGATAATCCTGCTTCATAGGGCCATGTTGCTCTTGGAAAGATTGATCTTCATTACCTGTTAGCAAAGGAAAGACACTCATACTGCCTTGCCTCGTTTCACTGGTGCTACTCAAGCACGTCTAGACAGACTGGGGGATCTACTTGCCATGGGAATGGTCAGCTTTAGGTTGAAATACACATAATCTGTTAGTCCAATGATGAGCAACTGAATGTGTATGTATACCTGGTGTCTTGTAGATAGAAGCGAAAGATTTGCTGGAGGGACAAAGTTGGAAACTGCAGGTGTGCTAGAATATGTAATCAAAAGAAGGTACACACTTCTTTATCAGCGTAGTTGACCATGAAAGTGTGTGTGTGTTATGATTGTATTAGTCATTGCTCAAGGACAAAGGTTCCAGTCACAAGGATATAATGTCTTGGTTGTCAGAACCTTACATTTGTTGAATTCACATTCTAAGAAGAATAGGAGACTTCTTGATCTAAATCAGCTTTAAAGACACCTTTTAATTCCTTGTGGATGTGTGTCTGGTAGATGTTAGCAGAAAAAACTGTTGTTGGAATTGGTGGGTTGCTCAGGCACTTGAAGTTGCTGCATGTTTGCAGCTGGGATGCACCTGAGTCCAGTATAAGTAAGTGATGTGCTGCTGTTTTTGCATATCGGCCTGTTTTCTCACTGTGTTTTGACACTGTGGTTCTGAGTCAACATGTTTGCAGTATGCTATTGCAAAGTATATGGAATAGGAAATTTCCTTTTCCTTCCCTGGAAAGACCTATCCTCTTTTTACTGTCATAGAGGGAAAAACTGAGGAGAGCTTCTATATCAGTCTAAAAAACTAGCCTGTGAATTGTTGGCATCTGAACATAAAAATGTGGTATTAAAAGGAAGACAGACTCATATATTCTAGGAATTTGAAGCCCGAGCTTAGAGTGGGGCCATGTTTTACCAGCTATGGTATGTAACAAGACCCTCCTTAATGCATCCTGCCATTTTGGTTCATGGTTTACAGCAGTGTAGACAAAATACATATTGCTAGCTGATCTCATTATTCTTAACAGGAAATATATTCTTTAGTTTGAAAAGATGATGGTGGTAATTGGCACTGAAGCATCACTGCCCTTTTGGAGCTGATTCTTTGCTCTGACCTCAGGATTTCTGGGATAGTTTTTAATCCTGATGCTTGTCATGCAGGATTCAGTTACTCAGAGTCCAGGGGCATAACAGGGAGTAACGACTGCATGAGTGATAAAAATCTGTTGGAGTGCCCAGTACTAGTCTGGGTTATGGAAGTGCATAAATAACTTTGACTGGGGCATTTGTGAGGCTTCTTTGCATTTTGGTACCATATTATTTATTTCAAACTGCATTGGTTGGGTTTTTATCCACCGCAGGAGCACCTGGTGGCTGCAGGGGAGTGTCATCCTCAGTGGAAAAGTGGAGGGTTTCTGATCAGTACAGAACCAGCTTCTTTGCCCATCTTACTTTCCTGGTTTATTCTTCTTTGGCTAAGATTCAAAATGTAGTTGTCAAAAGCATTTCTAGGACAAGACACTGCACGGTCTTTCCTCATGTGATTTTCTTTTTTTTTTTTCTTCTTTTTTTTTAATTTAAAACAACTATACGCATTCTCTTTGCAGTATTATAACACTTGAATATTACAGTCCAAAATGAATAATTCTAGACATCAGTCTAAATACATGTCTTCCCTCAGAAAATCTACATATCAAGGAGATACATGTTTTGTCTCCCCTTTATTAAATGTGGGGAATTAATGTTTCACTCTGAAACAAAGTTTTGGCTTTTTGTTTTGAAGCCATTGCTAACAATGAAGAGTAAGTTATTAAGTACCTGTTTGCCAGAGCTTTCATTCCTTCATGCACAATTCTGTGCAGGCTCTTGAGTCTCCTAAAGAAGCAAAGCTTTGATAATTCATTAGCCTATTATTATCAAGTTGCGAAGTGAGATGTGAGTACAGCTGCAAGGTGCTTCTACAGCTGATTGTGTCTGAGACTGTCACAGGAAAAAAAACTTTTCCACTTCTAGGAAGGGGAAAAGATGGGAACAGCTCTAATGGATTTGTTGATAAAGGATGTCAGAGCTGGTTTGCCTGGAGGGGGCATTGTGGGGAGGATGCTGGGAAGCACATAAAACCATTATTTCAATAAGTGTTAAAGAAGGATGAACCTAGCAGCATGATATGGTGATTTTTTTTCTGCTTTTACAAATGCATTAAGGGGTAAATACCAAAGAAGTTACTGTTGAAAGATAACCCTGGGAACTGAAATGTATTACTCAGCCTGCTGTGATCAGTATTCAGCAAAGCATACTGATTTGCTGTGGTGGCTTAACTTTCCATGTAGCTTATCTATAGGTAGGCTTTTTCTACTCCAGAGAATTTATTTGCTTCTTTTTCTTCTGTCTCTCCTACCTGTGTATCTTTATTGCTGTTCCACTTACCATGAAACAGAAAAATGTATACATTAACAATTTTTCCTTCATACTGTGTAATTGGTTAACAGAAGTTCATGCTCAGGGCAAGGATTTATTTCACTCTATTAGGTTTTTTCCTAGCTCATGGTTGGAGGGGTATGTGGGAAAAGAGGCTAGACTTGTGTATTGGTTTTCTGTGGCAAGGTTTTGGTAGAAGAGGGGCTACAGGGGTGGCTTCTGTGAGAAGATGCCAAAAGCTTCCCCATGTCTTATGGACCCAATGCAGCCAGCCCCAGGACAGACCCGCTGCTGGCCAAGGCTGAGCCCGTAAGTAATAGTGGTAGCATCTCTGAGATAACATATTTGCAAAGATGGAAAAACCGTGTGTGCAGCTGCAGCCAGAGAGAGGAGTGAGAATACATGAGAGCAGCGGCTCTGCAGACCCCAGGGTCAGTGAGGAAGAAGGGAGGACATGCTCCAGATGCCAGAGCAGAGATTGATTCCCCTGCAGCCTGCGGTGCAGACCGTGGTGAGGCAGGCTGTGCCTTGCAGTCCATGGTGGAGCAGATATCCATCTGCAACCTAGGGGGTCCCAGTGCCAGAGCAGGGGAAGGCTTGAAGGAGACTGGGTCGCTGTGGGAAACGCATGCTGGAGCAGGCTTCTGGCAGGACCTGTGGCCCTATGGAGACAGGAGCCCACAGTGGAGCAGGTTTGCTGGCAGGACCTCTGACCTGGTGGGGGACCCACACTGGAGCCATCTCTGTTCCTGAAGGGCTGTGCCCTGTAGGGGACCCTCCCTGGAACAGTTTGTGATCCCCTAAGGAGACATAGCAGCAGAGGCTGCAAGTGGCAAACGGACCACAATCCCCTTTCCCCATCTCCCTGTGCTGCTGCAGGGGGAGGAGGTAGTGAATTCAGGAGTGAAATTGAGCCCTGGAAGAAGGGAGGGGTGGAGAGAAGGTTTTGTATGATTTGGTTTTATTCGTTATTGACTTACTCTGGTTTGATTAGTAATAAAAGAAGCCAACTAATTAAATTAAACTGATTTCCCCAAGTCAAGTCTATTTTGCCCATGACAGTAATTAGTGAATGATCTCCCTACCCTCACCTTTACCCACAACCCTTTTGTTGTATTTTCTCTCCCCTGTCCAGCTGAGGAGGGCAGTGACAGAGCAGCTGGGTGGGCACAAAGCATCCAGCCACTCTCAGGCTGCCACACCTTGTGCCTAAAATTTTTGAGTTTGTTGGTAGGCGTTATAAAAACCCCCTCTTCAAAACAGTAATTTATTTGTGGATTTTCAGAGCATCATAGTTACGTTAGAAATACTTCCGTACCAAAGGTAAGCTCTGAATACCATGACCATGAGGTCCTGAACCAAAGGTTGAGCCTGAGGTGGAAGCTGGGAGCTGTAATAATGAAAGTATATCCGGTATACTGATTGTTCTTCTGAGGTCTGCTCTTTTTTGACTTTTTTTTTTTCCTTTTGTTTTTGAAAATGGGGGTAGCACTTAAAATTTTCTGTTCCTTCAACAACTTAATAGCTATTTAAAAGCTGAAGCATTTATGTCTAATACTTTCTACTGAGTCTTTAATGCACTACATCAGTAAAACCCAAGGTGTTCTGCATCTCCGTTCTGTCTCTAGAAAATTGCAATGCATCACACCTCCATCACCTGCCTTCAGGAGCATTGCCACCTAGGGCCGGAGGACTGCTGGCTTCTGAAGAGCATTAATAATGTTCATTGTAATGAGGGTTGAAGGGTGTGTGGAAGGAGAGTGTCTGCTGTTTTAGGGGTATCTGGTCAAAGGAGCTGTGAGGAGAAAATAGCAAGACGAACCTGACTACTTGGTCATGTAAATAAGATGAGGGAGGCTGCAGTAAGAACAAACCTGACTACTTGGGCATGAAGATATTTATCTCCTCAGCTGGAAGCGTAAGGAAGGGAAGGGACAGAAGTGCCGAGTTACCAAACCTGAGCAATTAGTGTCAGTGGAGGCAATAACCAAAAATGACCCTGGGCAGTGGCAGCAGTCGTGGGCTCTGGGGAGGCTGCAGCAGAGCTGGACTTTGCAGCTGATGAGGCAGGCAGGCCGGTGGGGGTCTGGTGTGCTGGTGGGGTTCGTGGGATGGTACCAGCTGATAAGAGGACATGGAGGGGTCACAGCCTGGTGCCTGGTGCCAGCTGCAGGGTGGGAGGCGAGTGTCTGTGTCCTCCCCAGGGCAGGGGTGTGTGTGGTGTGCATGTGAACACCAGCAAACCTGCAGGTGGACCAGTGGTGAGCAGGAGACCCCAGTCTGGGCAGGGGTGTCAGGTGGGCAGAGGGTCTGTGCTGAGTTTGGGGTGCTGGTGGGATGAGGGTGTGTTTACTGTGTGTTTGCAGCAAGCACTAAGGTAGCATCAAACGGCTGGGGTATGGGCAGGGGTGCCAAGGTGGCAGAATGGCTGTGACGGTGACCACGCTTATAAGCCTGGAGGGTGCTAAGTGTGTGATTGCACTGGTGACCTCCTGCCTCTGGAGACCCAGAGGAGGGGACGTGGCTGTGGGTGCTGGTGTGTTGTGGTGAGCTGGGTGTGTGGGTGCTGCTGGACAGCAGTGCAGCTGCCTGTGCCAGTGCCCTGCCTGCTCATCTGTCTCTGGGATATGTGCTTAGTTTTGTTCCTGGATGAACTTGGAACCCCACCAATCAGCCTGGTGTTGGGCTGGGCCTCAGAAGCTATGCAGGTCTGTACTGGGTAGTACTGGCCTGTACTGGGCAGCACTGTGGGTCAGGCAGGAGTGCCTGGAGTGGAGTGTCTGGTGGGGCAGTCACACTCCCAACATCCTAACTGGAAAAATGACTATTATACTTGTTTTTTGAAACAAGCTGTGAAGTCTTATTTGGATGTCACTGTTTCCAGTGTTGCCAGTGTGAAGTGTGAGATCCTTGATGTAAATACCCCACTTTTTGTCAGTCTGGGCCACATTTTTGTGATGTTAATCTTGCATAAGGGTGGCCCACTGCCCCAGGCTCTGGCTGGAGGGTGACTGTTAAATGTGCAGTTTGTTTATCTGAGATGCTGTCCTGGTTTTGGAGCTAAATCTGAAAGAGAGCAAGAGGTGGAATTAATGAAAGAGGTCTTTAATGACAGGCTCTCAGTCTGTTACAGTACCTAGCATCCCATCAGTTGAAAACTGGTGTTTCTGAGTTTGCATATGGGGTTTGTTATTGAATCTCTGGTCATTCTGCAGACTTCCCTGCCTGCAGAGGATAATGTAAGTCTGTACTCTTTAGTTGTGTTGTGAATTTTCAGCTTCAGCTTACCAGAGAAAATGAATAGGTCTTACCCATCTGGTGCCTCCAAGAATCTGAAAAAGCTTTTTGCTGCATTCATTACCAATCTCTTATTTATCCAGACGTAGTGAGATGTGATTTCAGCAGTTGCTGAATTTTTGCAGTGGTACCTGATGGTGCTGGTTGGTAATGGCATTGAATTGGTCAAAAATGGGAGGTTGTCATGGCTTTTTTGTTTCAGTTGAAAGAATATTTATTGACTAGAAAACCCATTATTCTGCCTTTGTCTTTATATCTTTACTTCCTGAGGTATAATGTTAACTTCTACGTGGTGGTTCAAGTTAAGTCTGTACAGCAATAGCTTACCAACCTTATTTTCATTGATGCTTTTCATTAAAGTATATATGGTTACTGTTGCTTTAACTGTTAATTAAAATGGAGTCACTCTGCTGCAGGAAATGGCACAGATTTAAGTGCAAGATAACAGCCTTTTCTGGGTTAAGCAAAACTGAAATGAATTTGTGTTAAAGTTACATAGAAGTTATTTCTGGATGACTTGCCTTGTGTAAAATGTTCTAATGAACAGTTATTTTAGTGTACCTTTTTATGTACTGTTTTGTTTGTTTGCAGTTCTGCTTGGCTTTTCTCCTTCATCACCATTTCTGACCTTTGTTATGTCTTTTTTTCTTTTTTTTTTCTTTTAGAAGAAACCAGCAAGTGCTAGTGTTAGCGAACCCCTCAAAACACAGACAATTGAAGCATCTTCTGCTGTTAAGGTAATGCATGCCTACAGGAATTGTCTCTTTTAGAAGTGAAAAGGATATGATATGATTTTATCCCCTGCAATGAGACAGAAAATGATTGGTTTGCCAGCATTCAGCAGCACTACAATGCTCCTTATGTAGTGAATTGAAATTAAAGAGGAGTGCAGGTCAGGAAAATGCCAGCATTGACTTTTGGAAGAAATAGACATGGTTACATTGTCTCCTTTCACATATTCTTCGTTAGTCTCCTTGTTATTTTTTAAAATCCTGGTGCCATTGGTATCAGTGGCAAAGTTCATTTGGTTTACAGGGCTATCTGTGGTTCAGTATTGTTTGGATGTTTGGATTCTGTACTCAGCGGACCTGATGACATTGAAGCAGTGAGAACTGTGTCTGCTTTCATAGCTCCTGGAACAATTCAGTCAGTCAGGAAGTTACCATCCAAGGTATTAAAAGATGACTTGCATAGGAGTGCAGTTCATGCTTCCTGAAGAGAAGCAGGGATCGCATTAAGTGTGCTGATGTCTTACAGAGTATTGAAGTTTGAAATAGGGTGCTGAAAGTACGCTTTTTCATGGTGGTTACATGTAAACTAATGGCTGTAGTTGATAGTCACTGTTTTGTGTAAATTTGTCATGGGTAAGTGGAATGCACCTCCCTCAAGAGTCAGAGAGAAGTAGCCGTATGTTTTATTGAGGTAAAATAATAATTTGACAGTTTAACAAGTTTGATGGAATTTAACGAAGTTTAACAGTGCTTTGACACAATTCAGTAAGTTTGATGGCAAGTTTCACTTTATTAATTACTGCATGGAAGAAACGCAGAAAAGAAGGTTGTGTTAGAATCAAGTTAGAATTATTCACACGGAGACCAGAGACATATAAAGAGGGCCCCTCCGGTGGGCCATGAGTGGACTTCCTTTCTTTCTGAACTCCTTTTGGACCCTCTCTGAAGCTGGGTCCAAACTTAGTCTCAGACTTGAACAATGGTTAATGTCTAATGAAATTATCCATTTAATGTTTATAATAATCGTGATTAATTATATGGAGTAGTAATGTTTCAAAGCATTAATTCAGCGTGCTATCCGTTACCAGGGATCTCTCATGGGTAAGGAATCTCTCTGTCTTGGGTAAGGAAGGATCTCTTAGTCTCAGGTAAGGAATTTCTAACCTAGAGAGTTGCTCTACTCTCAACTCCTGCTCAAGGAGATAGTTGCTCAAGGGGAGAGTGATTTGGCACACAGTCCAGTGCAATTCACACTACACCGACACTGATAGTACTTACAGACTGATGTAGTTGGCTGCTAGTTGGTAGTTTAGACAAGACAGATGTCTTCATCTGTCTTGCTCTGGTATCTTGTTCTTTGGTTATCTTGCATTTTCGGATTTCAAGACCACTCTCAAAATATTTTTTAAGACACTTTCAACTCCTTTGTATGTGTGCAAAGGGTTTTCCATAGTGCTGGTTCCCCGCAGGACATGAGGCCATCTCCTTAGCCTGACAGCAAAGTGTCACTTGAATGTGCCACAGTATTCCATATCTGGAGATGCACCATCATTTAAAAGATCCTATCAGCAGGAAGTGTTTCTGCTTTTGAATGGGATTTTTATTATTTTCTTAATTAATGCTTTTGTAAAACAATTCTCTTGCAGATGTCTTTATGCCACCTAAGTGATTATTTTTTCTAGTCAAAGAAGTAGGACACAAGGATATATAAATCCTGTTGTCCCCTTCTTTCAATGCATTTGTCTATTCCTGAAGACAGCCCAACGTTTTTCTTGCTTTTCTGTCTGTTCCTTACAGTTTGACAGGGCCTGTCTCCTGCTAGTTAGTTGTATATGTTCTTTCTATTATAAGCATATCATTTACATTAAGTATGCAAGGCACGATTTCCTGTGATGCTGTTAAGCATCATGAAAAAAATGTGACGTATTGTAATTGCCAGGAATTGTTTTATATTAGGTTATAGCACCTTAGATTGTGCGTTTTATTCAGTACTTGGTGTTTCTCCAGTACTATGAAAATACTGACCTTGTGGTCTTGAAGTTGACTCTTAATAGCTATTTCAAGTTTAACCTTTTTAGTTTCTACTTGACCATGAATAGTTTCCTTCATTTACACTAAACCTTCTCTTAATTAAATCTTCTAAATTTAACAATCTCCCACAATCCTTGTTGCTTGTGAGCAGCATCTTTCAGCACTGCCAAGGTGCACACACTAGGAGATCATTGCTACCATTATTAGCAGGCAGCAGTGAGGAATTAAAGCTGAACTAACCTCCTTCCTCTGCAGAAGGTACCCTACCAGTGGCTGTGTTTTCATTACAATGTTTTAAATTGGTTTTGCCAGTTACATAGCCAACAGGAAGGCAAATTCTAGCTCAGTGTTCACATATAGCTATAAATAGGCACTAATATTTGCACTCAGCCAGATCCAGTGATCTTTCTTGGATCTTTGTGTTCTATATGGTAATTCTGTTGATACCAAATGACGTTTTGCTGCTTTTTATGTAGTAGATTTTTAGCATTGCTCTTAATGAGTAATTATTTTCTTTTTGTTGCTGGCTGCTATAGCTTAGTGAAGTGAGAATTTTTGTTCATACTACTTTCGTGGACAATTTATTGAAGCAGTGCTGGAAGAATTCAACAACAGTGGAAATTTAGTGAGAATTATTTTTATTTCTGACTTGACTGATCTTGAATATTTTCAGAGAAAGCTTCTTGATGTTAATAATTTAAGAAATTTAAGGTTAGTTGCTTTCAGCTGGCATCAAAATTAACACTGTTTTAAAGGGAGATTCAGTCTGCTTTCTTCTGCAACAAACAAACAGGAAAATGACAAGAAAAAAAAGAATGATTATTGAATGTCTTTGAGTGAATACCTGCAGTTTATGCAGTAGGTATTGTATGCAGTGGGAATTTTGTCATAGATTTATCTAGATTATCAATCAAAAGTGATGCCTACTGTCAGTCTGTTTGAGGGGAATTTTTTTTTTTCCTGCTACATACCTTATTTAACTGTCACTAAATTTTTATCCTAAGGTCTTTTCCACCCTATTTTATAATTCTATGATTCTATGATTTTGTGACCTTTGCAGTCACCTTATTGTGAAGGAAAGAATTTTTGAGTAGAAATCATGTGAAGTCACGTTACTTATTGGGAGCATCCACAGAAATGATTAAATTTATTTATGTGTTACCAGTTATAGTATGAAGGTTGAAGAGGCTATCTCTAAATCTTGAGGTTACTCAGGAAGATATTTAAATGGTCTGAGAACTTCCGCTTCATGTTCTTCTTAGAGCAGATGTATATCGTGGTGCACAGATCCTCAATTTATAGGTGTTTTGCAGCAAGACAATGGCAATCTATGAGGCTGTTCCTGCAAGCTGCCTTCAGGACTGTTGCCAGCACATAGCCCTGCACATGAAAATCACAAGAACCGTGTCCATGTGGAGAACAGTGCTGGTCATCTTGGTAGCAGTGTCACATTAAGGGGTCTTTACATCAGTAAGGGGCTTACCGCCAAAAAGGGAGAAGATCTTACCCCTTCACTCGTAAGTTTGATGGGTTTGTTACCATCCCAGGAAAGGGGAGATCCTTGCATCAGATCTGCCTGTCAGAGCCCTCAGCAGGTGCTCAACGAGACAGCACAATGTATCAGAGAGTGATTTGGCCATCCTATTCAGAATTCATGGGAACAGATTCACCCATTGAGTTAAAAATTTAAGTCAATTTTTAAAGCCAATTTTAAGTCAATTTCATGTCAATTTTAAGTCTCAAAATAGATCTCAGCTGAGAATTTCTATTATATAACTCAGTGATAGCTTAAAGTTCAAAGATTGCTGTTGCTAATATAATACGGTAACTGCAAGAGCAAGTGTGAAAGTAGCATACATAAAGCCAGCTAAAAACTGATCATTAAATGCACATAAAGTACAGCTCGTAACCCTCTGGTGTTCTCCGGGGGGAGAAGACAGGTTCAGCCCTTCAGTTGATCCCAGCAGTCATGATGGAGTCTTCCCTAATTTTCTCTCCTCAGTTTTTCATATTTATATGATTTAATTCAAACTAGTAACTCCCCATAACCCCACCATTTACCAGTTGGTCAAGTGACTAGCATAACGTTACATAATGGATTGTCTTGCTACACATGCTTAGGGAAGGGCCTACTAACCTGCGCAGGGGTCTTCTGAGCTGTGGGTGTGATTTTTACTGTTAAAATGAGATTATAAAGAGGATAGTTCCCCAAAAGGACACCCTAATCATGTTTTGCTGACTCTTGCAGACAGGTTGGATGGGGCTTTGAGCAGCTTGGTCTAGTGGAAGGGAGGCAGGGAGATTGGAACTAGATAACCTTTTAAGGTCCCTTCCAACCCAAACCATCCTGTGGTTCTGTGACTCAGATAGATGTCCAGGTGCAGACCTCAAGGAAAAGTCTTTCCTGATTAGAGGTTTGTTAGTCTTGTTTTTCTTGGTCTGCCTACACAAGGCCAAAGCCTCTTCAGTTGTCAGTTCTCATCATACATCAGTGTTGATTTCTCAGGCTTCCTGATAATTTAGGAGGTCCTTGTATGCGTTCAGGTTTTACATAATATTACAAGTTTCATTTTTTTAACTCTATGTTTATGGAGCTTTAAGTAAATCCCCATTGAGCTTGAGTGGCTCTAGTAATACATATTTTGTTAATGGTTGGTTTGAAATACTCTCTACAATAAAAATATAGCTTCCTTCATCATTTGTGAGGTGATTTATGTACAGTACCTGGTGCCTTCATGTTCCCCTTCCTGCAGGGATTGTAAGAGTGCCTGGCCATGATGTGTTGGCTCCACTCCACCCTCTGCTCAGTTTATAAATGCCGAGACCATATGCCAACATCTCAGGATTGCTTGGGGTGCTGTCATAGGGTGGATTCCGTATGTATCAGCTGCATTCCGTCCTGGAAGTAGCTGTTACATTTTACCCTAAAATTTCCTTGATGTTATAACATAACTTTGAGGATTGGGGTGGAGGGT